TGATGTCTTGTAACACAGGTGTACTCACAATGTACCTTTATCTTCAGACAGCTACTAATTTGAATCCCATTTCTCTACCTCAGAAGCTATTTTCACAAAGCCTTAGAAACATTAGTTTTGAGATCCCTGCTTTATTAATGAGTGTGACAGAAATTTGGATTGAACAGGTGCAAGTATTTGGGAGGTAGCAGAAAACGATAAATCTCACTGCCTTGCCTGAAGAATTTATGGATTCAAAAAAGAGAACTATCATGTTCTTGGGACACATGAAGGGGGAAGCAAAATGAAGCAACACAACTGAATTAAAAAGCAAGAGACTATGGTAGATTAGGAAATAACTGATAAACCTATATTCCGTAGAAGGCTCTTCTCTCAGGTAACAAATATCAGGACAAGAGGAAATGGCCTCAAGTTGCACCAGGGGAGGTTTAGATTAGATACTAAGGAAAAATTTCTTCACTGAAAGGATGATCAGGCATTGGAACAGGCTGCCCAGGGAAGTGGTGGAACCGCCATACCTGAAAGTCTTCCAAAAAATGTGTGGATGTGGCACTTGGTATCATGGTTTAGTGGCGAACACGGCAGTGCTGGGTTAACAGTGGGACTTTATCTCAGAGGTCTTTTCCAAATTTAATGATTCTATGACCAGAAACTGAAGTGGTACCTAGACTATTTAAACTCACCTGTCATTAAAGAGCCATCTCTACGAGGAGGACAAAGCATCTGGTTCCACATTCACACCTATTCATGTCCTTAGGCTCTGTCTGCTGGACAATCACGTATGAAAAGCTACACTACGACCAAAACGTACTGTGCCCTTTCCACCCTGTATCGACCATTGCTACGGGGCACAGCAGCCAGTTACCAAGACTCTCTGCACTCTCCCGCTTCTGAGGATCCGCCTTCCCCTAAAGTCTAAGAGCCAATGCACCGGCAACACATTCAAAGTAAATCTGACAGGCAGATCAAAGAAACTTAATACAAATGTAATTTTCATACTATAAAATTTAAAAATGTGACAGTAGCAGAACAGACACTTATAGAAATTAAACGGTTTTGAATTTTATATAAGATAACGTAAAAGCTGAGGACTCTCAAGACAAACCAGGATCATATACTGGAGCACATCTATTTCTCAAAAGGGAAAACCAAACCCAAAATCCCAGGCTACTTTTCACCTTCGAGGTATGCCAACACTTCTTTGTTGCAGTCCATTATGTGTGTATATAAATCAGCTCCAGAAAATAACAAAGCACAGGAAGATTTTGAAAAAATTAAGATTTATGAAAGTCATTGTTCCTCAATTAAGACATAGTTACTACACTTGCTGGAAGTGTCTATGAACTTTTTCTATATCATATATACAGCTTCCAGCAACTGCATACAATTACTACCAACATTTTATTCTCCAGTCACACACTACAAATGAATTCTTGGTACCAACCCTGTATTTGAGAAACTGCTTTAGACAATTGGAGTTTCCTTACATTTGTGCATCAGTACAGGTTGGGGGCCGACCTGCTGGAAAACTGCTCCACAGAGTAGGATATTGGGGTCCTGGCAGATAACAAGCTGTCCATGAGCCAGCAGTGTGTCCTTGTGGACAAGGAGGCCAATGGTATCCTGGGGTGCATTAGGAAGAGCATTGCCAGCAGGTCGAGGGAAATGATCCCACCCCCCTACTCAGCCCTGGTGAGGCCACATCTGAGTGCTGTGTCCAGTTCTGGGCTCCTCAGGCAAGAGAGACAGAGATCCTGGAGAGGGTCCAGAGGAGGGCTACACAGATAATCAAGGGACTGGAACATACCTTATGAGGAAAGGCTGATGGAGTTGGGCCTGTTCAGCCTAGAGAAGAGATGACTGAGAGGGAATCTCATCAATGTCTATAAGTATCTGAAGGAAGGGTGTCAAGAGGATGGAGCCAGGCTCTGCTCAGTGGTGCCAAGCAACAGGACAAGAGGTAAGGGGCAGAAACCGATGCACAGGAAGTTCCACCTGAATATGAGGAAGAACTTCTTTACTGTGGGAGTGACAGCACACTGGAACAGATTACCCAGAGACATTGTGGAGTCTCCCTCACTGGGATACTCCAGAACTGTCCGGACGCAATCCTGTGCCGTGTGCTCTAGGATGACCCTACTTGAGTAGGGAGGTTGGACCGGATGACCCACTGTAGTCCCTTACAACCTGACCCATTCTGTGATTATGTGATTCTATCCTATACAATAAAAAGTATTTGAGTAATGATGGTATTTTATAACTGAGTATGCTGCTGATCCTCCTAAAAATTAGGGCCAGGCTAACTTGCAATAAGTATATCTGACTTTTCTACAACTGCTGCTTATCTAAGAAGGCACAACAATAAATACTATCAGTCTACTTATATTTAACAGTGAAAAAGTGTTTAGTACAGAGCAATGGCATACAGTCAGAAAGATGCTGACATGAACTACATTTAACAAGGCTCTAACACAAACGAATTGGTCAGCCAGAAATGAGATTTGGAGCAATTTATCATAAGAGGGAGCAATTCTTACAATCCCATTGCTGTCATTTACTGATATGCTTGCCCTTTTCAGAAGTATGAGTTCACTAATTAATTGTCAAGGTGCAGAATTACATGAACTGTCACATGGTGGTAATACACTATAGCACCATAGTCATTATCAGAGTGCCCAATAAGTATCCGAAATACAAACTATTCCTAAAGTGCTACATGTGTTCACAATTTAAATGAAAAACATTCAGCTTCGGAGCAGCTTTACCATCCAAAGTGAACAGTTTTACTTTGTGGTTGTTCTGAATCTACTCAGCTCTTTAGGGTCTCAGTGCTGTTAAAAAAGCACAAGTTCTTAATTTTCCACATCAAGTATTAGACACTGAAAAAAGTATTTTCCTGCATCCCAATCAAATGGACTTCCTTTAATAGACAACTTCTGAAACAACTTATATATAAGAATAGGAGAGCAGCTCTGAGGAGCAGTCAGATTTTCAACAGACCTTCCTTTAAGAACTGTTAAACTAAGAGTGCTATAGATAACATTTCAATATTTTTCTCTGTATTGAATTCCTCTGGGCAGAGTATTTGCACAAGCAAAATCATTACTGTCTGATGACAGTTACAGAAGACTATGCCCACACCTCATGTTGCTGAAGACCATTACTTTATGTGGACACAAACCAGTAAAATTTAAAGATGAATGACCGGTATATTTAATGAAAAATTTCTCAGAGTACAGACACATGTTCGGAATGTCGTAGGCAATGTTTCTATCATATGCAGCATTTCTACTCAAGTAAAAATACTTGTGCCACTGGAGTATACCTCATTCTCTGAAACATTCTGAATTACACCAACAGAAGTTATATTTACATCAGGCAAATTTGGATGCCTAGCAATACTGACAAGCTTCTTCTACCCAATACATTTATCAGAGCAAGTAAAATCCCTCTTTGAAAGTTTTCTCATTTAGAAAATTGTAAAGAAGTCATGACAATACCCACAGGAAAAAAAACAGATGGTATCGGCAAAAGTGGAGGACAAATGGAGTTTTCTATGTAAGAAAACACAGTGCAAAGCCTTTCCTTTCCTCTTCTTCCTCATCCCCAGGAAAGAAACGAAAAAAAAAAAGATGAAAGAAAAACTATTTTAGATCTGAGAAATCTACCAGAAGCTATCTGTATATGTAATATAGCCTCTAAAAAAGCCTCGAGGCCTCAAATTATTAAGAAAAAAACACAACGAAATCCCACCACAATCCTCCTTGCTGACATTAATAAAAGTTAAACAAATGACAAGCTATACACACCAGTTGTTACTTAACATATCACAAGATATGTAACATTTCAGGAAGAAAATGAAAGGCTTCCCAGCTAGTTGTTTGGGACATCCTGTGTCTATCAAGTCTCTCTACCAGTCTTTACACCTCCATGGCCTATTAACAAAAGTGACTTTTTCTATTCTGTTACTTGGCTTCCCCTATTCACAGTGCTACGATAAAAACAATATGGCCTTTGCGGTCACTATGCTGGCACATGGAATTACACAAAACAGTAAATCTGTGAACTTTATTGCAGGAGAACCACGCACGCTTTCTCTGCTCGATGGTTACAGCAGCACTTGTTGATTCTTGGTTTGCAATAAAAAACCTCCAGAGCAGCAAACCCAAGTTCCTGGATGCTCAGCTGCACACACTGCAAGGGCTTTAGGCCTTAGAGAGCCTATCACTGTCAGAAAAACCCAAACACGCAGGGAAACCTAACTGAGTTCGGGACAAAAGTTTTGATTCATCGTTTGCCTGCTGTCCCTTTTCAGCAAGTCGTTGAAATTCCTTCCTCCGCCTATTGCTCGCTCATAAACGCGTCGCGCCGCCGGGACGCGCCAGTGTCAGACCTCCGGCCGCGCATCCCCAGGGCCTGGCCGGGCACCATCACCACCATCACCTCCGCCCTGTGCCAGCCGCAGCCCCGGGGAAGCCCGGCCTGGGCACCACCCGCCCCCACGTTTCCAAGCCCCACCCGCGGCGCGGAGATGCTGTTCCCGACCCGCTCCCGCCTCCAGCGGTCCCGCGGGCGGGCAGGGGGCGGCGGACACGTGTCCCCCCCGGGCCCGGGCTTACCAGCTCTTCCTCGCCGCCTGAGCTCGGGTCGGGGTAGGTTCAGCCACCCGGAACATGAACCCGGCGCCTCGCCCGGCCGCTCCCCGGGGAGGCTGGCGCCGCTTCGCAGAGACTGTGCCGAGGGGAGGCGGGCGGGGGCCGGGGCCGGGCGGGCTCGGGCCGGGCAGGCGGGCGCGGGCGGCCGGCGCTGCTCCTCAGTCCCCCATGATGCGGGCCCGGAAGCGGCCGCGGCACCGGAGGAAGCCGGGCGCGACCACCTCGCCTCTTCCCAGCCCTCTCCCGGCTGCTACCCAGGGGCTCCGTGTCCCCTCCAGCACCCTCGTCTTGACCCCGGTGCAGCCCCGCGCAGTCCCCGCTGCCCCCGGAGCGGTGCCGGTCCCTGCCTGCGAGGCCGCCGGGGCAGCGCCACCCCCGCGGCCCAGCGCAGTGGGACGGTCCCGTTGCCATGGCGGCGGCGTCGGGAGGGCGGGAGGAAGGAGGGAGCATGGCCGCCCTGGCCCGGCTGCAGGAGAGGCTATCGGAGCTGCGAGAGGAGTATTTCCTTGCGAACAGGTACCCGGGCCGTGCCGGTGGTGGGGCGGGTCACACCTCCTCATGCTGGGCTGGGGCGGGCGGGCGACCCCCGGCTCTCCCTCGGCAACGAGATGGCAGCAGTCCCCCTGGAAATTGTCCAGTTCTGGGCTCCTCAGTACAAGAGAGACATGGAGCTCCTGGAGTGGGTCCAGCGGAGGGCTACGAAGATGATCAAGGGACTGGAACATCTCTTACGAGGAAAGGCTGAAGGAGCTGGGCCTGTTCAGCCACGAGGAGACGGGTGAGAGGGAATCTCATCAATGTCTATAAGTATGTGAAGGGAGACTGTCGAGAATGGATCCAGGCTCTTCTTGGTGGTGCCAAGCAATAGGACAAGAAGCAACGAGCAGAAACCGATGCACAGGAAGTTCCACCTGAATATGAGGAAGAACTTCTTTACTGTGGAAGTGACAGCACACTGGAACAGGTTGACCAGAGAAGTTGCAGAGTCTCCCTGAATGGAGATATTCAAGAACCCTCTGGTCGCAATCCTGTGCCATGTACTCTAGGACGAGCTTGGTTCAGCAGAGAGATTGGACCAGATGACCCACTGTGGTCCCTTTCCAACCTTAACCATTCTGTGATTCTGTTTCACTTTAAAATCCCTCCCGAGAGCACCAGCTCACCTCCTTGGTCCCAAATATTGCCAGTGCGATGTGAGGAGACCTGATGGCAGCAGCACAGCGTCTTTAAGGGGTCCGTTTATACAATAAAAATACTTAATGTACCTCTCTTCCTCTGCCCACCCCCCCAACCCCTCGCTAATTTTGAGGGAAAAGGAGCCTCTGGAAACTCCTAAAAGGTGTTGAACCTCGCGATTTCAGCCCTCTCCACAGGAGCCGACCCCTTTTCCACAGTCGCGCCCCAGGAGCCTGCTCCTCTCTCCTGCACCAGCATCGTTGCTATTCCTCGAGGATCCCTCATAGCGACGCCAGGATGCGGAACGCCAGGATGCTTGAGCCCCCTGCACTGGTGGCTTAGGTCTGTGACTGTACCCGAACGCTTGTCCTCTTGCAAGGCACTACTTTTTCTATTTTTTAAATTTTTTTAAATTTTTTTTTAAGTTGATTGAAAGAAAATCACCCCAACTTCTGAGCGAGTTGATGATTATTATCCACACTGTTTAAAACTGAGCTTAGTTTCTAAATTAGGTTGTGCAATTTGAGTTTCTAAGTACCTGGGACGTGCTTTGTCTTTTTTTTTTACCAAGTTAAGGAGGTGTTTATTCTACTTAAAGATCTAACATATCCCACATAGTGAGCAACAGGCTGGCAGATCAGATCACCTGTTACCCTTCTCACCAAGTGGGACAGTTTGCACTGCTGAGTTTTCTGGCTGCTAACATGGTGATGGCCAGCTTTTCCCAGATCAGATTTTAGAAAATAAAATACTTTAAGACCAACTTTAATATTACATAGAGTTGTCCTGTAAACCCTTTTATTCAACTGCACTGTTGCTGTTGCTGTATGTGCAATGCAAATACACACACACACAAAAAAAAGCGTTTAGCATAGTTGTAGTTTAATTTTTCCTCACTAATTAATGAATAATTTATTTTTGAATCTAATTACAACATCATTAGCATGAATAACAAAGCTCCTGAACATTCCTAAAAGTTATACAGACATCAAGTCCTGCCTGTATGTAAAGTGTTGTGTTTTCCTGTTCTTTCCCTGAACTTTTGTTCATACTCCTGTGGCTGTACACACAGCAGTTCACTAAACAAACATCAGTTACAGGAAACTATGCTTGTATTTCACATATTTCAGGTTAGAAAGAGCAGTCTGAGCCAGACTTGGGAATCCATTGGAGGGCAGCATGCTTGACGTTTGGGGATTTGTTTTTTGGCAGAGCTTTCCAAACATGAATTGTTTCCCTTTTAGGAATAGACTATGATTCATCAGCTTCTGAAAATTCAGATTTGCAGCTGAGTATTTAAATGAGAAGTTTCAAACAGTCCAGCTCAGCAACTAATCTTAATAGTATTTTTCTGATCTTCATAACATTCCTGTCATGCTTTATGCAGAACTCTGTTTATGTGAGAGGTATGAGGTGTCTTAAGCTGGCTTTTTAGGGAAAACACCTTTCTGGGGAAGGACTTGCCCAATGATGTCATAATGCAAAAATACCATAAACCTGCACTTTGAGAAATATCCTGTCAGCATAAGCATTAGACTATTCGGAATCCATTAGTGCACTGTCTTAAGTGTTACGCAATTTTATCACTCTACTCGTTCAAGAATCTACTTTTGTTTACTGTAGCATCTGTGTCAGGTGCTGACCTTGAATATGCTTTTTTTACTTTCAGTAAAGTCTTTGAGAAATACCTGTGACTCTAAAAGCTTAATTCAAACAGTGTGACAACTATGCAACCTGATCAAAAGGGCAAATACCTACCTGAGAAACTTTCACCTCAAACCACTTCTGCTTGCAAGGGCAGTTGAAAGGGTTTGTGGAACTATCTTGTTGTTGGTCTGCTTCAATAAACTTTACAAGGACTTGTAAACTGCCTTGGCCAGGCAAGACAGAATGCCAGCTAAAAAAATCTAACAGGGAGTAAGAGAGGAGAAGGCTTCTGCTCTTCCAGAAGCAGACTGTTGTCATTGCCAAGTGGGTAGGAATGGTTTTGGAGCTGTCACCTCTGACATGGCCGGTCCCACATCTCCTTAATTTCCAGACTGTAATTGTGGATGCCTATCCAGGCCCAAAGTGCTCAATCAAAATCCTTTTAATCAAAATCATTTACCTCTAAGTAAAAGTATTCTGAAGGTGTCTGCTTCCTATGAAGACTCAGAATCTACACAAGAAGGGAATAAGTAAGCTCTCTAGCCAGCTTTGAAAACTTTTTATTCTGTGATCTTAGATTAAAAAAGTATGTTTCCCACAGTTTTCAGATATTGAGAAGGTCTGGTGATTGTCAGATGACAATGAAAATTTGTGCCTGTTTTACATGATTTGAGAGCACATGCTGCAGCAGATGATATAAAATGAGTGGAGCTAATGTTTCTTGATCTCTGATAGTAAATCTGCATTTCATTTCACAAGAAATATGGTGAGGATAATCCTAATTTATCAGATAAAAAATGGTCTTGTTGGTGTTTACTGATGCAATTAATATTGACACAAAACTTTGTTAAACGAGCTCACTAATATCAGCTAATTAAGGAAACTAACTAATAGTAACCTAATTGTTATTTTGTGTCAGGTGTAACAAATTAAAGTATTTGGTAAATATGTTCCTAATAAAAATGGGATTAAAAAAAAAATCCATGAAAATTAAAATATAATTTTCAGTTCAAAGACTTGACAGTTACTGATACTTTGAAACAAATAAAAAATAAATAAAAGCCAGAGATGATCTCATAGCTGAGTTTTACCTCTCAGCATTGAAACTCATAATGGTAATGATTTCTTTCTAAATTCTCTTAAAAGCCTCTTCCAGGTTAATATATTTCTTTAACCTCTTTTAGATTCATGGTTTCCCTTACATGACTTTTAGCTTTGTCACAAACACTATTCTGTAGTAGACAGAGTCACAGAGAGAATTCAAGCAAGGGATATCTCTTGGACTTATTTTCTGATGAGGTCCTTTTACTTGTGCTTCTTGTGTTTCTTTCCCACTTGTGCATGTCTTTCCTTGTACTGTGTCATTTGACACAAAGCTTTGACATCTAATAGTTCTTGAAAATCTCCTTGAAGTCATCAATTCTCCCCTATATCTACCTTGCATCTTCTGCTGCCTCACCAGTATCTCTTTCTAGATAACCTTTCTTGTTGTGGAACTTAAAACCAAATCCTTCACCCTTCTCTGTATCCTCCCTTTTTCATTATTTCCTCTAGGATCTGTATTAATCAATGCTGCAACCCTAGCATATTTTGTAATTCTGTTGTTTCCTTTTATTCCCTCTTTGCACATGTCAATATGCTGCCAGTTTCATATCTACATCATCTCCAAAATCCGTGTCTTTGAATTCCCATTTTGAAAAGTTCTGTCAGGACTCAATAAGCTTTTGCATTGACTACTGTATTTCCATGTAAAAGATTCCTATGGTCATCCCTTTGGTATCTGTTTAAATTCCTAAGTTTCCAGGTTCTGACTTCCTTTTAAGCCACCCTAAATTTCCTGATGTTCCAGGCCCTCTAAAGTTTGGAAATTCTCACACCTAGTTTCTTTCCTATGCTTTCATTGTCATAACAGTATAAACTTACATTTGTATCTCACGTTCCTTTGATCACCTCTTCTTCTTCATATTTCTCCTCTCGAAATTCCTTCCTAGGAAACTAGATAGAATGTCTAAATCCTCTGTTTCCATCCTGCTAAGGTCAACTCATATTCATTAAAAAGAATCCTACAGACAAGGAGTGTATCTGTCACCATTATTGATGCTATCAATGTTCAAGTAATAAATGACTAAAATATTTTTTAACAATCAAAAGATAATGTGTTTAAACTAGATCTTACATTTAATACATGCTTCAGATTATAATATTGACCACAGTGAATTTATTTAATATTGACATCGTATACAATATTATACACAGTTACCTGATTTTTCTTATAATTCAGTCCTAATTTTAGTTAAAGCGTTATCCACGTATTTCACCTGCAATGGAAGTCCATGTGACGTGCTGACATGTATATTCAGTATTGTGTGAGAATAAGAAATACTTTCTCCCAAAACTTACATCCCCTATGAGTTGCAATACTCTTTATCCTTGTTACCTTCATACTATACAACTAACGTAAATTACATTTTTCTGCACTACCATTGAATTATGTAGAATTAAAAAGTGAAAAACCTAGTAAAAAGGATCCCAAACTGCAACAATAAAACATATTTAGAATATTTTTTTACTCTGGTTCTACATTGCAGTGCTGATAATTATTACTACTTTTATATTTCCAGATCTATAGATGAAGACAGAAAAATAAAATACAGAGCTGCTGTCAAAATCCAGAGCTGGTTTCGAGGATGCAGGGTCCGAGCCTATCTGAGGTAGTATATTAAGCCCATCTAGCCTATCCTAATCTGTGTTTCAGCCTTGAATTTTTCCTCAAAATTGCTCATGGTATTACTTGATTTTAATAAAATGGGAGCATTTAGGGAAAAAAAAAAGCAACAACTGTTATTCTGCTTTTCAACAGAATGTAATATATGCTGTGGCACTGTAAAGAGTAATTTTTGATTTTCAGAACTGCATACAGTTAAAAAGGCATGATGCTAATAGGTAGCTTGGAAATAATCTATCTTCATAATAGATACACAGTATTCTCTAGGACATCTTGTCACGACTGGAAAAGAAACGAAACAAGCAGATGTCCCTTGGATATGCTGATTGAGAGACTTTTCTTATAGAATGATAGAATATCTTGAGTTGGAAGGGATCATCCAAGTCCAACTCCTGGCCCTGCACAAGACACCTCTAGAGTCACACCATGTGCCTGAGAGCGCTGTCCAAACACTTCTTGAACTCTATCGGGCTCAGTGCTGTGACCACCTACCCGGGGAGCCTGTTCCAGTGTTCAACCACCCTCTGGGCGAAACACTTTTTCCTAATATCCAAGCTAAACCTCGCCTGACACAACTTCAAGCCACTCCCTCAGGTCCTGTCACTGATCACCACAGAGAAGAGATCGGTGCCTGCCCCTCCTCTTCCCCTCATGAGGAAGTTGTAGACTGGGGTGAGGTCTCCCCTCAGTCTCCTTTTCTCCAGGCTGAACAAATCAAGTGACCTCAGCCAATCCTCATAACGGCTTCCCCTCAAGGCCCTTCACCATCTCCATAACCCTCCTTTGGATGCTCACTAGTAGCTTTATATCTTTCTTATATTGTGGTGCCCAAAGCTCCACACAATATTCAAGATGAGGCTGCACCAGTGCAGAGCAGGGCGAGACAATCCCCTCCCTCGACCAGATGGAGATGCTTTGCCTGATACCCCCCAGGACACGGTTGGCCCTCCTGGCTGCCAGGGCACTGCTGGCTCATATTCAACGTGCTGGCAACCAGGACCCACAGGTCCTTTTCTGTGGTGTTGCTCTCTCTTCTTGTTGTTGTTACAGAAAAATTACCTAGTGAGGGTATGGCAACTGGACTTTTATTGTAGAAATTAAGTTCTACTGCTGGATTTAACGAGGTCATTTAAAAAAAATCTTTCTTTACATAATTTTCTCCATTTATAAATCAGAGATCTTTGTTCTGTAAAATACTGTATCAACATTGGACTTGATCTTGGAGGTCTTTTCCAACCTTAATGGTTTTATGATGTTGATACAACCTTCTTGGAAACGCTATGATTGGTCTCTTCTCCCTGAAAGCCCTCCTCCATTTTTTATGATTGTAAGCCCAACTGGTCAAACTCATGTGCTCAAATTTCTGCATCTTCATAAAAATTAGGGAGAGGGATTTTTACATCTTTTTGTTTGACCTCTTGCCTGTCACGGGTCATTATGTATCATCCAGACAGATTGTGTGAAACCTAAGTAATTATTAGGTTTAATAAAATTAATTATTTAATGGCTAGTATTTCCCTCATAGGCTACAGTCATTATGCGCACTTGTTAAAAAAAGCACAGGTAATTTGTTTTCCATTGCTGGTTCAAATGTGTTGTCACAGGATGCAGCTGTCACAGGCAAGCATTCAGCAGGCAAACAAACGTGGCACTTCAACCCTCCAAGAAGTCAATGTCAAAAAGCACCCACAAAGACAAAGGCTTGATTATTTACCCTCTGTTTCCAGGACATGAGTAACAGCTGTATGCCGCAGAAGAAAGTGAAAACCCAAGTGTCTTTGCCAATCTATTCTATAGGAAAATGCTCTTCCAAACACGCATTTGTATTTAGTAATGACCAATGTAGGAAGAAGTAAACCTGAGCTACTTGTAGAAGAGGATTTTCTCTGCAACTGTGTGCAGACTGATCTTGCTCAGCGTCCTCTTGGTTTCTTGGCCTGTATCAATAGTTTTTCCAGGAGAACTAGGAAAAAGATGGCCCCCCTGTACTTGGCACTGGTGAGGCCTCACCTCATTTACTGTGTTCAGCTCTGGGCCCCTCACTACAAGAAAGACAGTGAGTTGCTGGAACATGTGCAGAGAAGGGTAACAGAGCTGGGGAAGGGTCTGGAGCACGAGTCATATGAGGAGCAGCTGAGGGAGCTGGGGGTGTTTAGCCTGGAGAAGGGGAAGCTCAGGGAGGACTGCACTGCTCTCTACAATGACTGAAAGAAAGTTGTAGTGAGGTGGGGGTCGATCTCTTCTGCTATGTATCAAGTGAAGGGATCAGAGGAAATGGCCTTAAGTTGCACCACAGAAAGTTCAGATTAGATATTAGGAAAAAAAAATTCAGTGAAGGAGTGATTAGGCATTGGAATAAGTAGCCCAGGGGGATGGTGAAGTCACCATCTCTGGAATTGTTCAAGGGATGTATGGATGTGCCACTTGGGGATATGGTCTAGGGGTGATTATGGTGGTGCTGGGTTGATGGTTGGACTAGTTGATCTTGAAGGTTTCTTCCAACTTTAATGATTCTGTGATTCTCTCTGACTTAGGAGCACAGGCTCAATACAGGCACTTCTCAGTGTTCTGAATTACCCTAAGACTGCTTCCACTGAGTGGGCTTCAAGGCTTATGAGTTTGATGTCTGCAGTCAGGTGGTGTGAATGATCCCCTATGCAGTTTTTTCTAGACAGCCCCAAAGTAATGATTGCATGATTTTCTCCAAAAATTAATGTGAGACACCAATTATGAAATTTTTAGTACCATAATTTCACATATATATATATGCATACATATATATTATATACATAGAGAAAGAGAGTCAAAATAAATATTAACTCACAATTAAGCTAGGTGTAATTTTATAAAAGCAAAGAAGATAAAAGTGAATAAGGTGTCTCAAAATTCCAGATATCAGTGAGTTTTGCCAAATATTTAAAAATTGTAAAGCTGCGAAAATGTGCATGTGACATAAAAAATTCTGAACTGATCAGATATGTTGTTTAAAACCATCCATGCAAATAAAATCATCTTATTATGCAAATGAAATTTGTAAGGCTTTTTCATTAAACTTTTGTAATGATAACCAAAATAGGGAAGTTTGCAGTAACACATTTTTTCCAAAAATCAAAGTTTGTGTGTATGCATAAATATAGGTATATAATGGTCTATTTGTATGTGTGCATATGTATGTATGCATGCATGTATACATATAAAGTGTGTTTGTAGTGATCATCTGTTTGGAATAAGTATGGATAATACACTATATGTTATTTTTAATATTATGAAAAAAAGTTATACTGGGAAGTCTCAAAAAAATTCTTATTTTGTTAATATATTTCATTTTAGACATCTGAATGCAATGGTGATTTTGATACAGAAGTGGTGGAGAGGATATCGATGCAGAAAACACTTCAGAAAAATGCTGGAGGTAGAAAACTACTTTTAAAAGTTTTGTTTGGTTATTTGTAGAATACATAGAAATAATTCATTCCCTCACTATGAAATTAAAAAGCTGAATCTTGATCCTTTGTTCACACAGGCACGTACTTAACTTTACTATCATGAAAAGCACCATTAATTTCAGTAAGCCTAGTCATAACAGTCAAGTCAGTGTTTAAGTGTTTGCAGCTCTGGAGTATTAGTCCCCAAACCAGCAATGAGATCTGCTCATGCAGAAGCCTGCTCACATGATGCTAATTGCAGGATTGGAGTTTTAAAAGATGCTTTTTTTTTTTTTCCTGGCAGAACTTCTAATTTTGAAAATAAAATAAGCCAATGTGTCCACACATTACTGTTTTATGTTTTAGTGGTTTAAATTTCTTGCTTAATGAACCTTGAAGTATTTGAGGTTTTGCCTTAAGGCACACAGCAGATCACAGTCAATCTAATTCCCTTGACAGACCTGAAGATAGCAAAAGTGTATGATAGCACACAAGCTAAAACCTCTATTAACAGGTTTAGGAGATTAAGACGAAACTAATTTGCCTTTAACATAAAAAAATTAAGGTTTTAATATGTGGTTTACTTCACTAATTTATCAATTTATGTTAATGTTTTACAATAGTTTTAAACTTGTTAGTCATTTATTCTAGATTAACTTTGTTAAATTGTTCTGTTTTAATCAAAACAGACAACTCAAGGAAAAGTAAAAAAAAGAGCTGTAATAACTCATACATTACAGACCAAAGTTCATACCCTCTACTGAGCTCTATTTTCAAGTAGCAGGAGTCATGTACCTGAAAGATTGTCTATTTTTCCCCCAAGTTTATCAGTAATCTATTTAAAGATTTTCTCTCTTCCAATTTACTAACTGGCTTAACTAATAAATTATGAGCCGTCCTTTCAGGCTGTGCTTTTCAGTCATCTCTAATTCTTGAATATAGAGCAGATAGCTGCATGGTTGGATTGGGTTCTGTTTCAAAAAAAGAGAAGGAACTTCGTCTGAATATTTTTCCTGAGCTTAGAGAAGGTTTGTTTAATTTAGAGGAGCTTCTGCAGAATGGAGACATGATAATGTATCTTAAATTTTTTAATGAAGAGAAAGGATCTATGCAGTCATTGGGAAAAGGGAGAGAAGAAATCAAATTCATGTGAAATATTGATGCATACTGCCAAAAGATGTTGTGGAACTCCCTCTAGTGCAGGTTGTTAAGAGGAGAATAGAAAAATGCTTATGGATGGCTTAGATACACTTCAGGCAATGTTTTAGGTGAAGTAATCTCATAATGTTCCCTCGAGTTCTACATTTTTTCTGAGTTTAAGCATTGTAGAGGGATGAATTTCATTTCAGAAACAAGGGGATTCATGTGTTTCTGTGTTTTTCAAGATGAGAATAAGGACCATGTCGATTTTTGACATCTGATCATTAGGTTTTTAAGAGGGATTAATCAGGATTAAGGTCTGATGGCCAATTTTCAATCCCGGCCCGATTGTAAGGAGCTTTCTTTCGGCCATTCGTGTTCAAATGCTAGTTTCTTTGTTGATAGTAATCAGTTTCCTATTTTAAATAGAATGATGTCACTTCAGAGACTTACTTTTCTGTGTAGTGGTTGTAAGAACAGTGGTGCCCAGATAAGATACAAAGTGAACACATAACCGCCATGCTTATTGTCCATTGCACTGTTCTGAGTGGTGTCCTGTAGGTCAGATGGCAAGATAACTCTTCCCAGAGAGCCAGCCTCAATGGCATTTGGAATTGGTGCCCAGGGACAGGATGAGAGGCAGTGGGCACAGATTGAAGAACAAGAAAGTCCACTTGAAGATAAGAAACAACTTTTTTTACTGTGAGGGTGCTCAGATACTGGAAGGGGTTGCCCAGATTGAGCAAGCTGTTCTTGCAGAGTTTCCATTCTTGGAGATACTCAAAACACCACCGCACAAGGCCCTGCACAACTTTCTCTAATTGACCCTGTTTTGAGTAGTGGTTTGGAGCTCAGAGGCTCCTACCAACCTCAATTGTTCTATGTATTCATGAGATCAGAGGTCTTTTACCTCACCTCTTTGTTCTGTCTTCTTTTCCCCTGTCTTCTTAAAAAACGCTCTGACAGTTACATTTTAAGATACAGTCTTTCAAATTAGCACAGATTTCCTGTAATAATAATGAAGCTGAGAGAGCTAACATCATAAAACCCCCTCAGCTCTTCATTCTTTAAATATATTTCTGAAAAGAAAAATAAAAAAGTCTTTAATCAATAAAACCTAGTTCATATTTAGCTCTTCAAATAGACATAACTGACAAGCTCTTGCCAAATCTGAAGTCTGTGAAATAATGTAGGACAAAAAATTCTACAAGCCCACACTTAGTACGTACATTCTAAATCAGACCATGAATTCATCCGGTTTCTGGATACCAGTACTTATCCAGTGCTAGCCAGGGCTCTAGAGAAAGAGAATCTCATCAGAAAGCTTACAAATTTTACAGCAATCGGCATAGAAAACCACTTTTCTCCCTCAAATACTTCATTTTGTGCTTACCATCTCTTTGATTGGAGAAGACTAAATAGGACAGCCTGATTGGAAGCCAACCTGAAAGCCATACAAGTAGCAGATACAGATACCTTTTACTCCCTTTAGACTGCTATATTCAGTATTGTGTGATTTGGGGTGGACTTAAATATGAAGTTCAAGTTAATGCCTTATATTTGTTGTTATGCTGTCTTTACTCAATGGCTGAATTTGGAATATGTTAAAAAAACCCCAAATCTTCTCAGCAGCTTAAAATAACTTTCAAGTTAAAAGGATCAGTTAATGTTTGCAATGGACTCTTGCTAATAACAGCTGTAATGACTCCTGACTATGAAACACAATGATACATTTGACATGATAGTTCCTTAAATACACTGGTCACTTTAAAATTTGTCTGCTGATAATGATTGGATTGGTATCTGCTGCCAGCAAACAAGGCAAAGCATATGCACAAAATACCCATGATTGCTTGATAATAAATCATTTTAATGATTATATTCAAAATTGTGAAATGTGAGTGGTACTGATGCGGAAAATAACAAAGGCTGAGGCTCATCAGATTGGTTGTCCATATGTGCATCACTACTAGTATTTCATTTTCTACTCCTCTACTGCCTCTTCTTTTGACTGTTAAAATACATTAGTAAAAAATAATCACCTATTGATGCCATTCATATAATTAAGGTTATGTGCCTTTCAATTCCAAATATAGGTTCTTTGGTATAAAGCTTTGTTTCCTAATTAATCTCAAGCTAAAATTAAGAACTACTCTCCTACGATTTCCTTAATAACTTAGTTACATTGACTATGTGGGATTCTGAAGTTTTGCATGACGTGCAGAAAAGTACGAATTTTAAAACCAGGCAAGCACCAGAACATGAATCAAACTGTACATCACTGTTTCTTTATTATACTATTTCTCAAAGTCAAATAAGCACTTGTTTAAGGAAGGGGAATTGTAACATTTAATTGTTATATGAAGTTGACATGCATGATGGCTGTATTTTTAGCTTACTTTGAAAGGAGATACAGTTGAGAAGAGTGAATATTTTATGTGATATAGTTTGACACCACCCTAAATGGTTTAGCTTCAACTCAGCAACCAGTTTTAAATAATTCCAATCCAACAAGAATTAGTCAAATGCCTATTTACTCTACAAAAACACCCAAACCATCACAAGAACACGCCAATTTAGACAATGTGTTTCTTCCTTCTCTCAGCCTTAACCTCAATCAGGTTTCTGGATCTCGTTTGAATTTGTCATTTCATATTAACTGTTTAAAGCAATAGAAAACACCAGTCAGAATAAGATCACATTTGTAGGTGGTCCCCAAACATGTTTTTACATGCAAAAGGAGAAAATAGTACAGCAGCTTATAAACAAAAGGCTTCAAATATACTTTGGAAACATGCGCTTGAAGTAAGCGCATGAAGTAAGTAGGAAGACCTGTAACATCAGGGAGATACAAAGACTTCATGATTCAGAAATGGAGCTGGTACATGTGGTTGAGATGGCAAGATAATTTTCCCCAGAGAGTTAACCTGGCGGTGTCACCTTCAATTGGCACTCAGTGAAAAAATGACAAGCAATCCATTGGACACAGGCTGAAATGCAGGTAATTCCGCTTAAGCATAAGGAAAGAGTCTTCTGGACAAGCAGGCCCCAGTTCACAAAAGCATCTTTTGTTTAGTAGGAGAGCACATAAGTGTAGACCTGGGTTGAAGCACTAAATTATGACTGTTCTTTTGTGAATAGGGATGAACACATTTTCCATCACTTGTAATTGCAAAACTTTCTGATCAGAATTAGAAAACAGAGGGCAAATCTATTTGCAAAAGAACCTAGATGGTGACACAGCCTTCAGCTTTTGGTGAAAGAATAAGATTGTAAGACAGTTGTGTGAGCAATTCTGCATTTGGATGACTTGTGATTTAGAGCAATGGTTGAGTAAAAGCAGAAATGTGTAACTTCCTTTTTATTGTGAGTGACCATCTTAAGTGGTGGTAAAGGCCTGGATTTTCACACCTTAGTGAGGTGTGCAAATTAGGACCCTAGTTGCCACTGACTGTCTCTGTAAATAGTAGACAAAGTTCTTCAATACTTTGCCAAACTCAGAGACAGTGGTCCCTCTGTCTTTGAGTGTCGATGACATCAAGAGCATTAATGATGTTAGGTCTCCGATTTAGGTTCTTCAGTGAAATGGGCTGCATTCAGACCTAAGTGCTCACAGCCTTCAACTCTGAGAATAATAAACAAAAAGATGTAAGATTTAGTTTAATAATCGATGGACAGAAATCTGATAAACATTTTTAAGCTTAGGAACTTCCAGTAAAATGTACTTTATCTATTTGGTGGTGTGGCAACTCTTACGTTCCCTTGCAAAGAAAGAAAAGATGAGCTGCAAAACAAAATTTTATCAATTTAATCGAACAGTTTAGGAATATACTTAAATCTGGAAGACATTATTTCATTCCATTATTAGCTATCTACTCTTGGTATCACTCAGTAAACATTTATGGAGATGAAGGGAGACAGTCCACTGTTTATTCTAATTTGTACCTTTGGGGCAGATTTTCCCTCAAATATATATATATATATATATATATATATATGTATGTGTGTGTGTATGTATACATCTACACATACACGTGAAACTTTTTTGAAATTGAACAACCCTGCAATTTTCTTTCACATAAGAAATATTTTTTTGCACTGTTTCCATTATTAGTAGATTGGTATGATATTAAAGTGAGCATTTAAAATCCACCTTAATTAAACTGCAGGAATTATGCCTTGCTTAATGTAATGAAGAAAGAGAATTTAAAATGAAGTAGCATCATTGTGTTCATTTGTAAATAACATATTGCAGCCAACTGTTTCTTAATTGCCCAGACTGTTGATAAATAATCCAGTCCTGCTGCTCTCCACAGACAATTTGCTTTGGATCAGACTAGGCAATTCAAATAACACTAATTACAGTGAAACCCTTTTATAGTGAATTCCTGTTTGCCATGGGGGAGAAAATCACTATATCAGGGGAAAGCACTTTTGCCTTTGATTTGTGTCTAAAACATGAGAAACACATAAAAGCTGCATGTTGTGCTAAATAAAGGACATACTCTTGCATTCAAAGTACTTATATTTTACTTTTTATGATACAATTGTGAATTATGTTCATTTTGCATTTGTAATTAGAGGGCGGAACAGATGTGAAAGCTTAGTTTAAAGTGATGTATCCATTAAAATAACCTATGCTGCCAAGTGATTGCTTAGTATAATAGGGGATTCGTTCACTCTGAGAGGAATTCTACTTTATTGGAAGGAAACCAGGACTTCAGGAAATGTTTTCTATATCAGGGGATTCACTGTAACATGGTATCATTGTATTTATGATTTTATGATGTTAAAATGAATATTAAATGAAACAAAATTCCCAACGATTACTCGGGAGGCAGCTAAGTACATAACATTTAGTACAGATGGTTGGAAGGCACAATTTTGCTCCATCACTGCATCCGTATCCTTGAACGATTTCGACTGAAGACAGCATTTCTTTGAATTTTTCATTAAACCAGACGTCTTGAAATATGAATTCCTTTTATGTTTCTGTGAGTTTTGGCTAAAAGAACCCCAGTGAATAAATCATACAATACTACGTGTCACCAGCACTTGTGAATATTTCTGCTTTGTTATTCTACTCTCAGTAGAGCACCATTGATTATCAAACTCAGCGGAGAGCATTTTATGATCATATATCTCCATTAGCTCCTAGTTTGACTACCATAGATTTTTCTGGTTAAGCCTGCATTATGTATTAGGAAGCCTATCTCTTCAATACAAAGTTTGATTTTATTCTCTGTAAGCCTAGAACTCTTATTATGTATTATGTATAAAGATTCTTATCTTTTATATGTAAAAATAGGAGGACTGTCTTTGTGTAACTGAAATATATGCCATCTTTTTTTTCCTTGGTTCACAGACAGCATATTTTATTATGAAGATGAATTTCTACAATGAAATGGCTGTCAGGGTAAATATTTCTTCCCTTGTTAAACAAATGAAAAGTCAATTGTGCTCCGAATTTGCTTTTAATAAAATGAGCAAACCAGAATAATATACACTTGATTGATATGCTGATGGCAACAGTGGGAAATAGTACATAGTTAAAAATTAAAGTTGCACTCAGTAGTTTGGGTTGTATTTGAAAACTGTAGCTGAATTTAAGGCACCTGCATGTGTCTTGCCCTATTTAAATGTTCATTGTACCTTACCTTGTGTGATACTGCTAAAACCCCCAAACATTCTATTTACCAGTGTTCTTACAAATGTAGACATATTTACAATTCTGACAAACTATAGGGCTTCTATGCTGACTTGCTGATGTAGCTGTGCTTTTTCTTTTGTTGGTACATGACATTTGATGTATTGAATCTCAAGAGTTACTCAGAGAGCACAGGACAATTCCATTGCCTAAACACAGAGGTGGGACTGCACTGATCTCATTGATGATACTATGAGTGAATTTTGCTAAATGAAGAAAAGTATAAACAGTCAATGAACTTTAGTAAATCTACAGTTGATGAAGCTTTTTACAGGGAAAATTGCAAAATATGTTTAACGAGAAATTAGCATTTTTATTCACTGAACTTTGGAACTGCACCTAAACAAATATGTAAAACAAACATGGGAAGGACATGAGATAATAAATTTGATGAAATCTTTTTATCTTACTTACTTATTTTGTGATATAAAACTGTTTTACTTGAGAGGCCTGTATCTTTTTAGACAAGTTATCTTACCCTTTGAATTCTGCCAAATGTAGGAATATAGTGAGGATGAAGATTAACCCAAGGAAACTCCTGTAAAGTAGGAAGATTCTCAGAATGGATTTTAATTTTGTGGCCTTTCTGGGTCCAGAATAACTCAGAGTCAAGAGCTGCGTTCCCATCAGGTTTTTTGCTTAGTCCTGGTTCTCTCAAAGGCACAAAGTTGAATCTTACATTTGGTGCAGGTTAGAGAACTGAAGGTGTTTAACAGCAGTCTAATTCCTCACAAATGTACTTTCTTGTTATTGTTTTAGTTTATTCCTTAGTTAGCTAGTTGGAAAGTATTCCACAGTGGATAAATGCCATTTACTGCTGCAGCTGAAATCAGTGAGAAAACATAAGATGTAAGCCAGCTCTTAAAAGTTGCCTGTGTACTTTTAGAAGACATTTGAAGACTAAATTTCTGAGGTAATTATGTATTCTAGTCAAATGGAGTTTTGCATTTGGTCCTTCATTTTTAACAGAAATTGAATGTGTTCCCACTCATTTGTAATGGAAATATAATGTTGAATCATTAGGTGATATAAATCTTCAAAGTACCATTTTTTCAGTCATGTCCTTTTCTTTAATAGAAATTTAAATCAGTAGAAAACAATAGAACAGATCTTTATTTAGTTGCAAATGTCAGAATCGGTTTCTCCTCTATCTAAATAATCTTGTGTAGCCATATCTGTAGAGCAGATTTAAAATGCTACCAATCTGAAACACTGCATGGTTTTGGGTTTTTTCTGTCATCAGTTTTCTGAAGAACTAACCAAGGTCCAGGACAATCGAGAATCAGGCCTGTTGAGCTTCTGCACAGTAGATGCATGTCCAGACTTTACTTTTCCTAAGCCAACAGTGCCTCATATTCATACATTGGGAGTTTGATTCATGACTAATATAGTTCAGTGTTCTAAAAATATAACAATAAATGTGTATGTCATTCTACATAACATTCTTTTGTAACCAGACCTATCAGTTTTACCTTCTAAAATTAAATCAGAGATCTTGTGTTAATCAGTTTCAGTACTAGGTCAAAATATGATTCTCTCTCTTAAAAGATTTAAGGTTAATATAAATTTTCAGCAACAAAAGTAATCCCGTGGCAAAAAAAAAATAAAAATTCCACAAGCAGATGGCTTTTGATATATCAAGGTTTTGCCATTTGTTTTAGTGCTTAAAATAAACATTATTTATAAGACCACTTACATTTTGATGTTACTTAATGAGGAATATGCATCATTGATTTGACTAGCTTAAGAGGTCATTTAGAACTTGCCCGTTAACAAGCTGTAATCTGCTGAGCACACAATGACTTTGTTTAAAATTATCTGTTCAGTGCTGATCAATGACAATAATTGTTTTGTACCAATCACTGTTGAAACTTGCTAATTACTTTGAAGGGCACACACAGTTGTCTCTTTTTTTTCCAAGAATTTTTTAAACATTCACCTTGGAATTAGAAAGAAATTCAGTTGCATCACATTATACTTCCTTATAAAAGGAAACATTTAAAACTTTCACATTGAAAACATGAGCATCATCAGAAGGTGTGCCTAAAATGGTCTTTTCTAAAAAGACTAATCTTCAGTTTTGAGATCTCTGACATACAGTACTAGGGAAAAAGAAATCTAGCTTAAAATAATTTGAGACTGCAGTTTTTCTTACTTGTGTTTCGTTCAGTTGAAATCAGTGAGTTCATTCAGAACAGAAAGTGGTGTAAATAAAGATAGAATGCAGCATTTAATTGGTACACTGAGCCCATTGGAGGTAATTATAGCTTTATACAATTTGAGCCCTTTGTCTTTCAGTTTGAGTTTTGATCCTTTAACCCAGAAATATCCAGTTCCGCATTTATAACTGTGAGGTGAAGACTGTCAGAAAGAGTTTCAAAGGGACCATAATCCTGCATTAATGAGCACATGGCTATGTGGCAGCCAAGTTGCTCTTGTTGAGAAATTTTTAAGCCAAACAGCAAAACAAAGCTAAGATCCTTATTCACATGCAAAGGATTTTGCTTAATCCCAGATCTCTGAAGGCATACTCATTCTTTGCTCTTTCTCCATCCCTTTTTAACCCAATAAGCTTGTCTATGAGAAAGTGGAGTTGCAGAGTATGAAATTTGCTATCACGTAGTGAAAGCAGCATGTCTAGTGCTTAACCTTTCTTGTTCCCATAACGGTTATTTATTAATATTATAACGATATCTACAGGTCCAAACCCTTATTATTAAAAAAAGTGTTTATACAACACATAGGTAAAAGAAAATACCAGCTTTTTAAATTAGCTTTGGATCTTATTTGGGAAGAGAGGAAAATGCATGCTGATGCACAAAGGGGAAATAGAAGAAAATATTAGCACTGGAAGTTGATATCTTCTTATTCCTAATAACTCCAGCGCATAGTTTAGTTTTCTTCATGACACATGACTCAAAGATTTAGGGAAAGCTTTTCTGTGATACTTTTTCTCTTTTAAATCCCATGTGAAAAGATAATCATAACTGTACCAGAAAGTGTCATCGATTGAGGCAAAATGCTAGTTTTTACTTTCAATAGTAGTGTTTTGGGTTTTGTGATAGAAAAATGGTATCAAAGTATGAAAATATTCAGCCCTGCCTTATTCTTCTTATAGACAGCTCCAGTGTGTTACTGTTTTCTGCTCAGGAAAAGTTAGAAGATGGAGAAATTGCGGTCAGTAACTTGTGTCAGATATCACAGTGGTACAGAATTGGACTGCAATGGAACTTGAAGGAGTTGAGAGAAGTTACCTGTTACTGGAGAGCAGTTCCACGACTTGATGATGCAGACTCTGAAGTCTTTTGACTTTGAATAACCTTTTGAAGGTTATTGATACTAGGGGCAATGGGCAAGTTTTTTTTTAATCTTGCCTTCTTGCTGAATCAAACACAAAACCCATGACACTCTTTCCCTCCTTTTTTTACATGAGTATTTAGAATGTTAAAGGGTATGAAAAAAATCCCGATACCACAAACACAGGGATTTCACTCCACTTACCAAGTCATCCCTTGGTTCTGGAAAGAGAAGGGTCGATGTAAAGGGGAAAAAAGAAGAATGTTCCCTGTAGATACACTGAAGAGTTTAAATTCTTGAAAAGTCTAGTAGCTAGAGGCCCACAGGGGTAGGATAGCTCTTAGAAAATTAGATCATTCTTCTCTTCTATGCATTTAGTGAAGGGGAGTAACTTCGCACTTGGATTTGCTTCTGGACAGTAAAACCTCAAACTTGCTTTTTAAATGTAGATTCTTCCTTTCAGCTGTTATGTCTTTTAAGATTTCAAAGCTGTAAAGGTCAAAGAGAAGGATGTTGGAGTAGTAATGGAAGTACTGCAGACTAGAAGATAGAAATTTGGAGATTAGTTTAGAAAAATATTGAGGAAAAAGGAGACAAATTTCAAAAAAGGAAGTAAAGAATATTTTTCAGGGAAATTAATAAGTTCAAGGACAGAAGAATGTAAAGATAGAGGAACTAGACATAAGGAACAAAGGAAAAGATCATTAATCTATCATCATTAATCTATGACTAATATAAAACTAATCTAAAAGATCATTAATCTATTCTTCAGATGTGTATATCTAGAATACACTGACCTCTTATGGCAAAGAAAATGAGGAACGAGAGCAACCCTCAGCATGACTGAATAGTTACGTCTTCCTCCTGTACATGTCACAGGGAGAAATGTGAAAGTACTGATAACTTTTTACCTAATTACATAATCACAGAATTACAGAATCATTTAGATTGGAAAAGGCTTTTAAGATCATTGAGTCCAACCTTTGTCCGACCACCACTAAGTGCCACGTCCAGTCATTTCTTGAACACCTTCAGGGATGGTGACTCCGTCACCTCACTGGGCAGTCCATCCCAGTGCTTAATTGTCCGTCCTTAATGCTTACTTTCCCTTCCCACAAAACAGATAACCAGTAAACAGGTAGTAATTTCAGAAACATCATGATTAGGATTTTTAAGTATCAGAGAAGATTTAAATGTTTTCGTCAAAATCAATTATTGGGGAAAGTCAGGTAGACTAAGTTTCCCTCTCCCCTTTTATTTTTTTTTCTCCTTCTCGTTTTTTTCAATTGATGCTTTTCAAAATGCACCAAAAAATAAATTCTTTCTGGTGGAGGATGCTACTTAATTTCTATTCGTAATACAGCTTTACAACTAGCAACAGAGAAAGAGGTTTCCTTTTCCAGGTTAGGCTTTCTCTGCTTTGCAGGAGAATGGTATTTCGTGAGAAGATTATAATTTATGTGCAACAAATAGACATGAATCATTTTACCCTGGAGATGAAAGAACTGCAGTTTGTAAATTACATTTGCAGAAAGCTTGATTCACTGAATCACTGGGAAGGCTTTTATTCAGTCTACAATTTAACTAGAGCACAAAGGTGAAAGTGTAGTGTAAGATGTTGGTGAGGTGGTGACTGGTAGGGAATGCTTGTTGTACCTGGGAAAAGACAACACTTCTGTTGTCTGCTTTTTTACTGTTCTGACAGAGCAATGCCACTGGTAGTAGCAGGCACTTTTTTTCATTGTCCCATCCCAATATAAACAGTGGTTTAAATTTTGATACTATTTTTTAATGTTTGCATATAATAGTAAATTCGTATTGCCATTTAACTACGATATGTTACATCCTACCCTAATTTTCTTCATTGAAACTTATTGGTGCTTCTACTTCATAACACTTTTAAGGAAACCATATTATTTGGGATAAACTACAGATACTTGATATGCATACAAACTTTTGATTTGAAATATACTAAGCAAATATTTATTTCCTCTAGATCCAGAAAAGGTGGCGAGGCTATTACGTTCGGAAATACATCCATAATTATTATGCCCTGAAGAAATACTTGCAAGCTGTTTCTGTGAATAACGCATTTGTCAGGTAAAAACAAAAGCTCCATGTGGTAAAGCATTCATTTCCTCTTCTTTTATTTGTAAAACGTTTATGGCACTAATTAAACTATTTCTTTGAGTGTAGGTTCCCCTCCATTATCAAATATATATATCTATCAGTCATCATTCTCTTTATCCTATGCCTATTCATGTTGCACCACATTCTGTTCTCATTTTCACTGTTATGAATTCAGAATAATTTCTTTGAATTAATTAGATGCACTCTGGGTTAGTACCATTTTAGTACCAAATGAATTTGGCTCTTCACCTATGCTCAGAGCTCATAGATTATTATGCCCTACATATGGTTTGTTGAACTAGATTATTTTTTCCCCACTATACACAAGCTAAACAAAAATTTCTTTTTATAATTTGTTTTGAATATTGATTATTGACAATGAATGCAAGTGCAGATTTGGATTTAAGTTATATGTATGAGCCATACTATGAATGTTAGTCGTGGAAGATGCTGGTGTTTATATAGTGAAGCAGACTCTTTTCATAGTTGCAGAATAGATCCAGTCACCAATCGTTAGATTTCTGGCTAGAACTGTGGTTGCTATATGTTCTTACCCTATTTCTTCTATCCACCCATTGTTTTTCCCTGTACTTAAGTTGAAACCTCTCTAAAATAGAGGTGCTTATTTCCCTGTAGTGCATTTGATGTACTGTTACATGACCATTACTCCATATGACAGTGGAAGCAAACAGACAAAATACTGGGTGACCATGATCGTTACTTTCTCATTGTAAATGAGAGCTGTTGGACAAAATCTATCCAGTTTGCTGCTCAGAACATGTGAGATAAATCTTTTCTTTCTGAAATATAAGAGAGTCTAGTAAACAAATATTTCTGGAAATCTTGTCTAAATCACATGGCAAAGACTTATATAAAACAGCGTATGCAAGTTATATATGAAAAAAAGAAAATTATCCAACTTCTTTGGATGCTGCTTATTAATTTATCTTATTTTTCCACAATATAGCTGATGCTACGTCCTCTTTGTCATAACATTATTATTTGTGCATTACAGTGTTACCTTTAGTGAAGCATATTGATAACCACCTATCTCTGATCTCTTATTATTATTCATTTAAATGTATTTTATGCATAAAGTTAGATCACAACTCAGCAAAAACAAACTTAAAAATACTGCTATTTCTTCAACTGTACCTTCTTGATCTAAAATCCTTGAAAAAATATGTTCTTTCCTTGAAAAGTTAGAGTCCTATGACTAGACCAAATCCTGGAAAGTAGATGAAGCCATAACTTCTCTGGTTTAAAATCAATATAACCGCATGAACTTCAAAGACATAACCTACTTCTCTGTTCATAATCATTCTATCACTCCTCTCCATTCCCTGCCTAAGCCTGGAACAGGGCTTATAACTTGTTAGTTAGATTGACCTTTGGTGAGTGTGAACAAAGCGAGATAGCAAGTTCCTGCTTTACTATGAATATGGAATGATTGGAGCTTTGTATTTTATTTCCCCACACCCACAATAGATCTCTGCTGGGTACACCTAACTTTTGAGGACTACAAATATATTTGTCTTTCAGTATTTTGACATATTGATCAAATTCCCTAATGTTTATTTCAGGTCATTAAAATCCATAAAGGTAAGCAATCCATAAAGGTATTTTAACCAAGAAATATTTCTGTGCTCTTTTTCTTTAACAGGTAAGATGAACAGTATGACTTCAGGTATATCAAAATGTGTTGAAGTTGCTCTGTGTGAGCTCTTACCTGGCAACTGATGTATTGGTATTTTGCTAATTTGAGTTCTGTCTTCCAGAGTTCACAGAAGTAGCATTTTTTTCACCCAAAAGACATCATCTTTTGGGTCAAAAAAAAGTTTAAAAATAAATTCTGAGCGAATTTGATCAAATGGATCTTACTGTTTCAGTTTTAAAAATGCATCAGTTCCCAAGTGCAATCAAGAATCACTGCAGTAATCCCTTTACTGGGGTACGTTTGAAAACTAATATGTATATTATCTTCAACATTCTTCTTATGATATCTAACAGATGTTTAGTGAAGATTAGGTGTAGGCCCTCAGCCAAGCAGATTTTTCCTGTCATTGGGCTAAGTTGCTGCCAACTACTTTGGCCCCAAGGTGGTCCACTGTGTTTCTTATGTGAAATATTGCACCAGGTGGAAGAGAGATTCTCTGCATATTTTCGTCAGCCATCACATCAGCTGTGGACAGGTATAACCTTGTTGTTTGTAAACATTTTTGCATAGAAAAATTATTGCAACCGTGCATTGCAAAAAACACAAGTAATAATCAGAAATTGAGTTTATGAAATGTGAGTTTATGAAGGTGAGTTTATGAAATGGCTGGGTATTATTTCAACATCAGCATAGTGGAAATTTACAGAGCCACTGATATACCTGTGCACTCAGATTAGACTGCCTTTGAGTGTTTCACTTATCTACAACACCATAAAACAACACAACATGGTATACATGAAATAATGCACCTTTTCTTTTGTCTTATAGCTATATTCATCAGAATATATGCATATGTGCAGTGTCAGTGCTAGTAAAGAAACAAGTTTTTTCGTAAATAATAGTAGAGGAAAAGTAAAACATAAACTGATTTTAAGAACTCCGGAGTGGTAAAAACTTCTCTCCCCCCCAAAAAAAAAGCAAAAGATATTTATAATTTTAAAAACTTGTTTAAACTGTATTCCTTCTAGAATTATGATGTAATTCTAAACTGAACTACATTGTAGGGTTCTCTATCTTATCTCTTCTAGAATAATGCTGACAGAATTTTTAGTAGTCAACAACTTTCTAAAATCGTATTACAAGTCCTTATATCTCTTGGACTCCAGAACCAGGGTTTGTGCCTAATTTTCTCCTCTTTCACTAAGGAGGAACCTATATCAAATTACCACTAACTCGTTTCCAAGAGAAGCTCCAGAGGAAGTTGCCATGAAACTTTGGACATTCTGTTAAGTTTCTTAAAGAGTTTCTTACAAGAGTTATTGATCAAAGTTTGTTTCCTTCTCTGTCCTCCACCCTGTTTTGTTTCTCGTTAAATACAAGATACTTACCTTACTAAGGGGTTTTCTCAACCTGTGGCCACATCTTTACCATCCAGCTTTAATACAAACCGTCCTTATTTAATAGCTGCCCTCATTTAGTAGCCAGACCTTTATCATTTGTCTTTACTGTGAAAATCCCAGGAGAAAGTAAACTTAATAGAAGCTGCCCCAGTTTAAAGCCATAGAGGGATATAATTAAGTTTAACAGAAATTGATTTAACAGAAATTGACCTAAAATACAATTAAATAATAATAGTCATATTATGTGTGAGTTTCCACTCACTTAACAGACTGCTTATGGCACTGTTGGACTTAACAGACTTAGGGCACTGTTTCTGTACAAACTGAACGTAACTGTTGGCTTCAGCTCCCTCACTGGCTGAAGAGTGCGTGCGTTTTCCTCCAGCATTCCTATTACTTCCCACTGCTATAGAACCAATAGGTCTGATGGCTCCTGGTGTCCCCAGCACAGTCCCTAGTAGTTAGGTTGGGAAGTGATTCAAAGGATCCCTTGACAGATGCAAAAAGAACAAACTTGAACCTAAACTCAGTCTACATAAGGACATACTCAGATTTTTCTTAACATTTGTACAGCCTCAGTATAGTGATGAAATGGGTTAATTAGTTAATCAGTTAATTAGTCCTGAACTCTCTTTTTCATACAAGATTTAGGAAGTTCTTAATCAATGTAGTAGGAAACTTGTTCTTAAATATTTATTTTACTAAATTTTATTATTTAGATTTTAGTGATAAGTCTTCGTTGGTAGCATCCATTTGTATTTAAATAAGCACCAACACATACTTTATTCTATCTGAATATGGATTAGTTGTGTGGTTACATTAAAATAAATTTCATTACTTCTCAGTGCAGCTAGTGTATTTAATTTTAAGGAAATACCTTGTTTTGAAACATTCCTAAAGAGACATTTACCATCTCCAAGAGCTGGGCAAATGGTTACAAGGGGAAATATGCCAAAAGCAATTAGCATAGGCTATAACTCCATATGATGCATTAGAATTTTGTTTTATGTGAAACAGTTTCCAATCCATGATAAGCAAATGGACATCACTTCACATAAATTAGCATGCTGGTGCCATTATATCAGAACAATTTATGGATGATGTCAGTTGTCCAACTGTGTGATTAACTTGCAGTTCTTTGCCTAAGGTTATCTACACACTGGCCTTTAAACTACAGTAAAGCAACTTTGCTACATGTCAGGTGTGCAAGTAGAGATAAGATTTTGGGATGTAGTGCTACATTTACTGATGAATGGCACCATTTAAATTTTTCCCTAGGCACAGAACTCAGTAAAGATAGCAGTATCAGAAAACTACCAAAGCAGTGGCCAAGTACTGGCATTGGAGGTCTTGTGTAATCAAGGCAGGTAGTTTAGCTTTCTTGCTGCTAAATAAACACTGACCTAAATGTAGCAAACTAAGACATGAGTTTAGCTTCAGTAAGCATCATAGTGTAAGTAAACACAGTTAAGGTCATAAACTGTGAATTTCACACACTTAGAGGATCAACACAAAATTCTTTCTGTTGTTGGCTTTAGTAGTGATGAAGTGTTGAGTGGCCCTCGAGAATGTGACTTTCATCCAAGTTTGACTACCTGTTTTATCAACAGATTTGGTTTCACAGTCATCATTAGAACTTCTAGGTCTTCAAGAAGTGTCAGGGAAATAGATAATACAAAGTGATAAAAATCACTTCCTTGGGCAATATGTATGTTCACAAATCCTTTGTGCAGTTTGATTTTTTATAGTGTTGGTGAAAAGTGAAATAAATTACTGTTACATGTTGTTGACGATCTAATCCAATGTTTATCTATTCCATAAATATACCTGAGCGTGCAGTACCAAAAAACATAAGGATATCTATCTTACTCTTGATTACTTGGGCTTGATTACTGAAGTCTATTTACTTTTAA